GGGGGGAGGGCAGGGCCGGGGCCCGGGCGGTGACAGTGAAGTACTGGCTAGTGTGGAGCAGGAGACTGGAGGCGCCCCGGCTGCCCCGCCCGGAGGTCCGTGCTGCCCGAGGGTAGGGCACCCATTGCCCGTGAGGCCACAGGGACCCCGGTAAGAGTGCCAGCGTCCTCCTCCACGGGCTCATGACCTTAGCAAGCCACCACCCCTCGGGGCCTCGCCTCGCTCATCTGGAAAACGGGGACCTCTCAAGTCTGAGCATAAGCATGGCCACGCATGCAAGGCGCTTGCTAATGGGCCGAGCACACGGAGTGTGAATGTGTGCAGCTGCTGCCATGGTAAGGCCTGCCCACCTGGATCAGTCCGTCCAGGTGAACCTCATCTCTGAGATTTGGGGTCAGAGTTTGCGGTGCCTGTTAAGAGCTGTGTGACTTTGAGCAAATCTTGGCTTTTGTTTGAGTCTCAGAATGAAGGTTAAAAACAACACAAAACAAAAAAACTTACTAGGCTTGGTTTAGAAGAGAGAATAGAATGTATGTCAAAATCCTGGGCATTAGGGATGCCAAGTAAAGTTAGTTTATTACCTATGTGCTTGTAATCGTTAAATAGTACCGTGTTGATATCACATGTACTCTTTCCATAGCTGTAGTCATCTGGATTTTTCTACCCTCTCCCCATTACAAAGAGGGTTAGTATGAACATGTTTGCTTTGGAAAAAAAAACAAAAAAAAACTCAGTGGCTATTTTCTTAGCAAAAAAAAAAAAAAAATGAATTTATGTCACCCAAGAGTGTTAATGATCTTAATTTCCTGTTCACCTTATTCTGTTCTGTTTGTTCCTACCCAGCTGTAGAGTTGAACGTTATCACATCGCTCGGGAAGACTGAATAAATTAGCAACAAATTAGAATTTCTCTACAGCCCTGCCAGCATTAAGTTTTATGTGTTTTTATGTTCTGTTTTGTTTGAGTTACTTTAACTGGGGCTTTATGGTGCTTTGTGATTGTTTTCGTTTGTGTTTCTTGACTTGACTTTGCCTGGTTTGTGAGAATTCAGGAGCAGAGTTAGGGAGGAGAGATTGGCTGGTCTGTCTGGGGTGGCAAGGGCTGCTCCACACACAACAGGAAATTGAGTAATTGCTTAGCATGCTGCAAAATGGCTTGCTGGCAGCTCTCTCCAGCCAGCCTCTGAGCTGGGTGGGGACTTCCCTGAGCGCCTGTAAAGCAGAGATCCTTGCTCCAGGCACCTCCTGTCTGGATTAGCCAAAAATACAGCCAAACGTCTGGGTTCAGGGAAGGCTGGCAAAGCTTCTCTTAAAGTAAGAAAAAACCTACAGTGGGTGCCTTCCAGCCCCAGCCTTTTCTGGATGGAGATGTGAGGAAAGCATTGGCTGAGGCACCCAGCCAGTATGGACAGAGCCATAATTTGAACCCAGCACTGTAAGGAAGGGGCCCCAAGGCCTGGGACCCTTCACCTGACTTGCTGTGCTTTAGAAGGAGCTATAGTCACCCTGTATCCTCAGAGGACCCTCTAGATTGCAGGTTTCCGAGCTTTTCTGATCATTGACCCTATCAGGGAAAAAACTTGATCACATGCTCTCCAGTAAACCAGTAAATATGTACAAATTGCATTCATGTGCCACTGAAGTAATATGGCATATCCCTTACAGACCATCCCCTCAGACAGACATGAAAGGATATGATTCATTCATTCAACCACATTCAAGAAATATTTATTCAGCATCTACTGTTTGGCAGGTATTCTGATTGGCTCTGGGGATACATCAATGAACAAATATCCCTGTCCCCGTGGGGCTTATGCCCCAGTGCATGGTCTTTGGCACCCCCTGGATGGGGACCCACACCCCACCTTGGGGACCCATACCCCCTCCTAGCCCCCATGTCACTCTTCTTTGCCCTCACACCACCAGCCATGGGTGCTCCTGGGCCCATTCACACTGAGCATTCTCTTCGTGTGGACGTGGGGACCACAGAGAGATCCTGGCTCCAGGTGGGGGCAGAGCAGGGAGTTTCAGGATTCGGTCCGTGTTCCCCCAGCCTCACTCAGTTTCAGAGGTGATTGGGGGTGAAGGGGGCAAGTCCCAATGCCATGCCCAGGGTCCCCTCCTCTCAGAGTGGGGCCCACAGAGTGCTGGCTCACCGAGCCATGAGGACAAGTGGGTGGGTGTCCGAGAGGCCACAGCCTCAGCCTGCCTTTGTCTCCACCAGAAATCATCCCTGAGACAACGTGCTTGAGCAAAGCAGCCCTGACAGCGTTTTCCTCAGCAGGAGATTGGCTGGCAGTGAGGGTAGAGGTTTTCCTGGGCTTAAGTCAAAGTTCCGAGGCAGGTGGCCCAGCGTGAAGGCTGCTTCCCGGGGTCTGACACAGAGACAATCTACTGATTCCTAAGCAAGGAGGCCACAGCCCTGAGGCCACAGTGGCTAGAGAAGTCCTTCCCCTCTCTGGGCTTTCATTTCCTCTTTTGTGCCTGGGGGTTGGGAGTCATTGCTGAGGCTCTTGCTGGTTTCAGGTGCTTTGCAGAAGTTATGAAAAAGGGAAGTGCATCTTCCCCTCTCCCACCCTTCAACCGAAACCCCTGCCCCCTTTAAGGTGTTGGTTCAGTGGACTAGGAAGTGTTTCTCTCTGAATTCATGCTAAAGTGCGACTGCTGATAGGTGTAGTCTGAACCTCCCTCCCCTGCCTGCCCCACTGCGCACGTGGCCTCTTTGCCAGCTTGATGAACCTTTGGGCCCCAGGAAAAAATGGTCAGAGCTACCCCAAGTCCTCTCAGGTACATGGTTTGCTAGTATGGGGGCCACTGTCCTCAGCTGACCCAGCCTCTCCATCTTCACAGCCTGAAACTCTGGAACATCATGCTAGACAGGCTTTTCACATGTCCTTGGACACTCTTACCAGACCTTGCAAGGGGCAGAAATGCCTGGCCACACAGTTGGAGCTGGGAAGTTGGGTTCTGCTGACCAACTCTGAGCCTGAGTCTGGGATCCAGGGACTCCCACCCTCACCCCAGGATGCAGCTACAGGGCTTCTTCCTTCTGGGCCTCCTGGGACTGAAGGGGTCAGGGTGGTTGGCCTCAGCTGGACTAGGGGTTTGGAAGTGGGCTCTGGCCTTAGCCCTGCCCCTGCCCCGTTAGTGACCTTGGAGTAGGGGGGTGGGCAGATTAGCACAGTTGAGCAGTCAGACAAGCCTGATGCTCCCATTCCTGAGCATCTGTAGTGTAGACAGTGATGACACCCTGCCCCAGCACAACTGGAAGCCAACACGGGCCCAGCCCAGATGCACCGGAAGCTTGGGGGAAATCCCCCTCAGGCATGCTGACCTGGGCTGACAGCTCTGCCACCACAGCCACATCCGTGGCCTTGCCATACACAAAGAGGCCTTATAAGGAGATAGGCCGGGGAGGCAGCTATTGTGGGAGCAATGTGCTAGTGTGTGTGTGCAAGGCCGAAAACGCATGTCTGGGAGCAGGGTGCTTGTGTGTGTACAAGGCTGAACATGCATGAGCATGTGTGGCCTGAGCCTGGGCTGCCAAAGAAGTGATGTTCACTTTGGTCTTTACTGATAAGTAGGATTTTGCCTAGTGCAGTGGTTCTCAACCTTGGCTGCACATTAGAATCACCTGGGAATCTTTTTAAAATCCTGATTTCTGGGCCGCATCCTCCGGAAATTCTGTTTCTTTGTTGTGGCCCCACCCCATAACAAAGAAACAGAATTTCCGGAGGATGAGGCCCAGAAATCAGGATTTTAAAAAGATTCCCAGGTGATTCTAATGTGCAGCCAAGGTTGAGAACCACTGGCCTAGTAGAACAGAGGTGGGCTGGAGAGAATGGCACGCAGGTGTGAAATGTGGGCAGGACTGGCCTTGAAGGCACATCAGGCCTGTCCCCAGAAAGCAGCCTTCCCTGCAGAGGGAGTAGCATGTGTGAAGGCCAGGAGTTCTGCCTGCTCCAGGCCGGAGATGGCTGAGGGCCCCCAGCTCAGCATGAAGAGGAGGGAGGGGGGCCTCGCCCCTGGTCATAGCCAGGAGGGAGGAGTGGCCTGCGAGGGCAGTTGTTGGGAGCCAGCCAGCCAGTCCAGAGTGGAAATGAGCAGAGCTCTGTGAGGAGGGGTGAGGGTAAAGGCAGGCGGTGGGGGACCTTCTAGGTGCAGACCCCACCCCTCCTCAGGCCCAATGGCCTCCCCTGCAGCTCAGCCAGCGGGTGGGAGGAGGCTTGGGAGGTGCAGGGCCTGAGCTGGGGGGTGAGCTGTGGCCCCTCTCCAGGTGGGAGGTCCAGTAGCTGCTGCTGCTGCTGCCAGGCCTGAACCTGCAGTGCTGGGCCCACTCCCCCCTCCTCTTGGTACCTAGCTGCCCTCTGGACCCTCCTTCAGCTCACATCCATGCCACCCTGGGACCCCAAAGACCCCACCACCCACGCCAGGCCCAGTGCAGCCCATCCTCCCAGCCACGGGAGCAGCAAGTGGGTTTTCTTGATGAAAATAGGATCTGTCTGCCTGTCCGCCTGTGCCCTTCCCCACAGGTGCCTACAGAAGCTCCCCCCTCTTAACCCACCCGGAAGAGAGTGGGGAAGACCAGGGCTCTGGGTATGGAGGGCGCTGCTCTCGGTTTTTGAGGTTGTTTCATTTCATCCTCACCCCATTCTTCTGGGGGGAGCTCTGTCTATGAGAAAGCTGAGGCACAGATGATGGGCGATGGCCTGCCTGGCGCAGGGTCCCTGCGCACCCCACTCACAGGGGCTTCAACACCCCCGTACTTCCCGCCCCATCCTTGTTCTGTTCCCTGGAGCCTCAAAGACATCCCATGAGAGCTGTCATTTTACCAGGGAAACAGGTCCCAGGAGTGAAGCAAGGCATCAGGCCAGAGTTAGGAGGCAGGGTGGGCCCACTGCCCTCCTGTGAGGTCAGTTGGGCCTGGTCTGGGGCGGGGGCAGAGCTGACTTCACTTCTCACCTCCTTGGGCACAGGAGCTGAGAAGCCATGGCCTACCACAGCTTCCTGATGGAGCCCATCAGCTGCCACGCCTGGAACAAGGACCGCACGCGTGAGTGCCCTCCGTCCCCCGGAGCACACAGGGCACGGGCTCTGTGAGGGCCAACTGTCCCCCTCCTTCACTTCTGATCCTGGGTGCTTAGGAGGGAAGGGATGAGCCGCTCTGGGACAAGCAGGGGCAGCCAGGCGAGTGGGCATTGAGGGGTGGAGGTGAGAGCAGGAACAGGAGTAGGCGGGCTGTAGGTGCAGGGGTCCCCAGGCTGGGGGAGGGGCTGGGATAAGGACTGAAGACATAACCTGCAATGGCAGGTAGTGAGATGAGCTATGAAGAACACACGGGGTAAGGGAAAGCAGTGGAGGCAGAGGTGCTGATTTAGAAAAGGTGGCCAGGGAAGGCCTTTCAAAGGAGGTGACATTTGTACAGGACCTAAAGGAAGGGAGGGAGGAAGGGGCAGGTGCAGAGGCCCTGAGGTGGGACAGCAAGGACCATGGCTCGAGTTGAGAGCAGAGGGCAGTAGCAGGGGACTGGGCAAAGCTCCCAGAGGTCATGAGACTGTTGTGGGCACGTCAGGGTGGACCATGTGAGAGGGGCCAGTCCCTGGGGAGGTGTCATAAGAAGAGCCCCAGCAGGGCCTAAGGGACTTCAGGGGGCCCCTCTGAGGCAGAGGAGTCAGAATCTCAAAGGACAAAGTGCTGCCCAGCTAGTCTTGAAGGGCATTCCTGCTAGATGCAGCGGTTCTCAACCTGTGGGTCGCGACCCCTTTGGCGGTCGAACGACCCTTTCACAGGGGTCACCTAAGACCATCCTGCATGTCAGATATTTACATTACGATTCATAACAGTAGCAACATTACAGTTATGAAGTAGCAACGAAAATAATTTTATGGTTGGGTCACAACATGAGGAACTGTATTTAAAGGGCCAGAAGGGTGAGAACCACTGTGCTAGAGGGTAGTTGAAGGGCAATGGGGAACCTGGGCATGTGTGCATCTTCTGACTCCACACACCCTGCTGTCTTTCCTGCAGAGATTGCCATCTGCCCCAACAACCATGAGGTGCACATCTATGAGAAGAGTGGAGCCAAGTGGGCCAAGGTGCATGAGCTCAAGGAGCACAACGGGCAGGTGACAGGTGGGTCAGGCTGGCTGGGACCACCCTCCTGAAAGGAGGCAAGGGGTAGACATGACTAACCAGGGCCATCCATGCACTCACTGTGTTGGTAGGATAGTTTGGGTTGTAACACAACCCTGATTCAAAGTGGCTTAAGTTATAAAGGGATTATACTGGTTCATGTTACTGTAAAAATCAGAGTTTGTGGGCTTCAGGAAAGGTCTGATCCAGCAGCTCAGCATTACCAATAACCCATTTCTTTTCTGTCTCTTGGCTTGGCCTTCCAGCATGTTTGGTGATAGTTGTCGGAACTGTAACACCCCCAATAAGCTCTAGTAGCGCCCCTGGAGCCGCTTTCATTCAGATTGTGACCTCTGAGCCCTTCCTACATGGAACTTCAGAGTCATCCACTTCTGCTTAGTTCCCTTCAACCTAGTGTCCCCTCCCCTCCCACAGGCATTGACTGGGCCCCTGAGAGTAACCGCATTGTGACCTGCGGCACAGACCGCAATGCGTATGTGTGGACACTGAAGGGCCGCACGTGGAAGCCCACCCTTGTCATCCTGCGGATCAACCGGGCGGCTCGCTGTGTGCGCTGGGCCCCCAATGAGAACAAGTTCGCTGTGGGCAGCGGCTCCCGTGTCATCTCCATCTGCTATTTCGAACAGGAAAATGACTGGTGGGTGTTTGGGCGGAGCCTGAATGGGCCGGGAGGTATGCGGGGCTGCAGACTAACAGGTGGTGGGACCCAGAAAACACCAGATGGGATGTTGGTCTCTCTGTTCACACCACCCTGGGGAAGTGTGACCTCTCTGGACCTCATAGATGAGGTGAGGGGCTCTGCACACCACTGGGTGCTCCCACAGCCCTGTCTCAGTAACAGGGGACAAACCACACCAGGCCACCTCTGTGGTCCTCGAATTAAGCTCTGCACGTGTATTGGCATTGCTTTCCCCACAGCCCCCTGAACTGGGCTTCTGTTCGTACTTTACAGGTGAGCAAAGTTAGGTTCTGAGGCAAAGTCACTTGCCCAAGGTACCCAGCCACAAGCTTCCGGCCACATCATAATCTCCCCTGGATCCCTGAGGCCAGAGGCCAGGCACAAGTTCAGCTGGAGTCTGGGAGACCCAAGTTCAAATCCCACTCTAGCCAATTAGTAGCTTTACTGAGCCTGCCCACGGTTGTCGTGAGTTTTAAAGGAGACAGGATATAGAGTTCCCACACATTACTGGCCTGAACCTGGCCCTGACAGGCCCATCGGCTAGCAGTGCCCAGATCCCTCTGTCCTGGACCGCATTGGTCTGCAGGGCACAGTGGGAGCCTGGAGTTCCTGGGGCACTGAGGCCCCTGACAGTGAGTATGTGGGTCTGCTTCTCTCTTCTCCCTACCTGCCCGACTGCCGTATCCAGGTGGGTGTGCAAGCACATCAAGAAGCCCATTCGCTCCACCGTCCTCAGCCTGGACTGGCACCCCAACAACGTGCTCCTGGCCGCAGGCTCCTGCGACTTCAAGTGCCGGTGAGAGGGTGGTACCCTGACATCAATGGGACAGGAATTTGAGGGTGGAGGGGAGCCCCACATCCTGCCTTCCAGACCAGCTATAGACCAGCTCTGCTGCCAGCAGGGTGACCTGAGCTCTGTGAGGTTTTGCTCTTTCTAGGATCATCATTGGCTCCTGTCTCCAGCCTGGGGAGAGTCTTGGCCTCTTCCTACCTCTTAATGTCAACAAGGTTTCTTTCCTAGACCTTCCTCTCCTGCTTCATTAGAATCTGCCACCCCTTCAGTTTCCTGGCTTCTGTCTGAAGGAAAATGAGTGGTGTACTTTTTCACACTAAGGAATAAATGACTGATAAGCTGCCTCATTGTCTTAAGACCTGGAATGTAGAGTCCCCAGTAGCCATAGGCTGTTCTTTACTTCTGGGTTCAGCAGCCCTAAGTGTCCCAAGCCTCCAGCTCCCAGCTCCAGGCAGATGACCTGGGTCTCTGAATCTCCACCTGGGAAGCAAGGCTCCAGTAGGTTCAGGTCCCCTTGGAGGTCCTGGGCATGGAAGGAGGATGCCCTGACGAGGCTCTGTTGGTGGGTAGGGAGCTGTTTTGTTGGCACCTGATCTGTCAGGTGACCCCTTGCTGGTCCTGGGATGTAGAGAAGAGGATTAACATGTGTGAGAGCAGCAGTGTGCGAGACAAGGGGCAGGAATGGTTCCAGGTGCAGAGTAGGAGGGAGAAGGGGCATCTGGGGCTGGCTGTGGAGTTGTGGCCAGCATGATGAGGACCAGGACACCTGGTGGTGTGTCACCAATGGATGGTCCTGGGAGTTCACAGGACTCAGCTGGGAGACCTCCTGGCCCATCTCCATTGCACAAAGATGGCACTGAGGCCCACCTGTGCAGGTGCAGGTCATGAAAAGCTGGCTCTGGTATCATGAGCTTCTAGCCAATTGCTCTGACCTTCCCAGGCTGGTTTGAGAAAGGGAGTCTCTTTAGAAACTCAGTCACCTTTTTTTTTCCCCCTCTGTGGGCAGGATATTCTCAGCCTACATAAAGGAAGTGGAGGAGCGACCAGCACCCACCCCATGGGGCTCCAAGATGCCCTTCGGGGAGCTGATGTTCGAGTCCAGCAGTAGCTGCGGCTGGGTGCACGGTGTCTGCTTTTCAGCCAGTGGCAGCCGCGTGGCCTGGGTCAGCCATGACAGCACGGTGTGCCTGGCTGATGCTGACAAGAAGATGGCGTGAGTACTGGTCACCCAAGGGGAGGACAACAAAGGCATAGAGCAGGAGGGGGCTGGTGGCTGACATCTCTCTCTCACTCAGAGTCACAACTCTGGCCTCTGAAACGCTGCCACTGCTGGCCGTGACCTTCATCACAGAAAACAGTCTGGTGGCTGCGGTAAGGAAGGAGGGAAGCAGTAGCCAATTGAAACAGGTCTCCCCTCAAGCCCAGAGGTGCCCAGGCAGTTATATCCACGTGTTCCCTCCTTCCCTTCCTCCCTCCCCGCTTTCCTTCCCCGCTTCCTCCCTTCCTTTCTTCCATCCATCCATCCTTTCGTCCATAGATCTGTATTGATTAGAATAGGTTGCATTATGCTGTGGTAACAAAAAAAAATCCCCAACTGCAGGGGCTTGACATAGTAAATACTGATTTCTTTTTTTTTATATATATATTTTATTGATTTTTTACAGAGAGAAAGGGAGAGAGACAGAGAGCCAGAAACATCGATGAGAGAGAAACATCGATCAGCTGCCTCCTGCACATCTCCCACTGGGGATGTGCCCGCAACCCAGGCACATGCCCCTGACCGGAATCGAACCTGGGACCTCTCAGTCCGCAGGCCGACACTCTATCCACTGAGCCAAACCGGTTTCGGCAATACTGATTTCTTGCTCACTTGATATGTCCAGTGTGGGTGTTGTGAGGGGGGTTCTGCTCAGTGCAGATGGAGGCTTTGTCACCAAAATGCTCCCCCAACGGCCATGGAGGGAGGAGGGGGAGGTGGAGATCATGCCCTGGATGGATCTTAACATCTCTGCCTATTTTATTGGCAAGTAGAAATGACAGGGTCACACCTCGCTCAGAGTGGGTGTGTGTGTGGGGTGCAGTTCTACCATGTGTCCAGAGAGCACTACTGTTCTTCCCTCCTTCTGCCCACCTTGGTCACGTCCCTTTTCACCCTCAGCAAACATGATGGGGGTTCGAGAGGGGGATCAAGCCCACTTGGCCTGTTAGGACAGAAGGTCCCTGGGCTCCCAGAGGTCCCAAACAAGCTTTCTCACCAAGACATTGGTTTTACTGGGGTAGGAGCCACCCCTATTTGTTAACCCCCAACATCTGGTCCCTCTATCTGGGCTTGGTCTGGCAGCGTCCCCAAGCTGGCATCAGCTTCCCGGTAGCTCCTCCATCCAAGTCCATCCAGCCTGCGCGGCCGCCAGACTCATGGACCAATGCCCCTTGCTGGCATGCCTTGCCTCCAGCCTGTTTCCCCGGGCGGAAAATGGGGGCGCTGCGCCTGCCCTCGGCCTGTGCTCAAATAGCACCCGCCCCCACCACAGGGCCACGACTGCTTTCCGGTGCTTTTTACCTACGACGGCGCCGCGGGGACGCTGAGCTTCGGTGGGCGGCTGGACGTGCCCAAGCAAAACTCTCAGCGCGGTTTGACAGCCCGCGAGCGCTTCCAGAACCTCGACAAGAAGGCGAGCTCCGAGGGCGTGGCTGGCGGGACGGGCCTAGACTCGCTGCACAAGAACAGCGTCAGGTGAGGGCGGACCTGGGGGGCCTGGGGGACCTGGGGAGCCAGGGTGGGCGGAGGCGTTTTAGAAAGGAAGCAGGTGGGGGCGGGGCCAGGGGGGCAGGATGGGGCCTGGAGCGGGTGGGCCTGGAGCGGTCCGATCTGGACTCTTTCTAGCAGCTTGGAGGTGCGACCCCTGGTTTTGGAAGCCAGGTAGCTCTCTTTAGGTTGCATAATACAATCAGTGGGGGCAGCCAGTCAGCGTTTGTAGGACGCGGTCGTGTGAGGACCATCGTAGGGGCGGGGCCTGTTTCTCGGTTGGCCAGTGACCAGCTGTGGGCGGGGCCACAGCTGAAGCGGGTCTCGGGCTAGAAACTGGTGAACTGGTGGCAGAACTAAAGATTCCAGCTGCAGCCTCTGAGGAACTAGGGTGTTACGAGAAGACCCTCCAAAACTTCCAAATCCGGCCACCCAAGGTGTGCACCCTGTGGCAAATAAAGAACTTTGGCCAGACTTTCTGACCGAGCCAGTGAAGCCCTCCTGTGGCTGCCGGGTACAGTGATGTCTTCTGACCAAACACCTTTGTCCCACTTTCAAAGCTCTTCAGAACTAGTTCCTCGATCTCCCAGCCCCATCTTTCACTTTATTCTGCCACCCTATTGTCACTACACACATTCCCCAGACACACATCCTCCATGCCCTGCCCAGGCCTTTGTATCTTGTTCCAGTTGCCTGGGCTGCCCTTTATACCTTGCACACAACTGCTGTTCCTAAAGCAGACTCGTGAGCCCTGTTCTGTGATCCTGCACAGCCTGCCTCCCAGGCTGTCTCTGCGAGCAAACCCCAGGACTTCTCACTGAAGTCAGTTCCCCCAAGAGCTCCTGGAGGACAGGTTGGACTGGAGTCTGGCACAGGCACCGGCTGGGATCTGTAAAGCCCTCATCATCTTTGCAGCCAGATCTCAGTGCTCAGCGGGGGTAAGGCCAAGTGCTCGCAGTTCTGCACTACCGGCATGGACGGTGGCATGAGCATCTGGGATGTGAAGGTGAGTCTTACCCCACCCCGGCTTTCCACCAGACTCCCGGGGGCCCTTCCTCCCATTTTGCCCGGGCAGCCTCCCTGGATGCCCTGTCCTTCAAGTGGGAGAAAGGCACTTCGTTGGAGTGCAGCAGGAGGGATGAGAGGCAGCCCCTTTGACACCTGAGCCTCTGCACGCTGAGGCACCTCCCTCATAGGGCTGGGATTCAAACCAGGTCTGTTGGACCCCAAAGACCAAGTTTTCTGTCCTCTGCCTGCCTGGGGTTGGGGTGGGTAGAATGTCTACAGGACAGCTGAGAACCAGCCTGTTCTGCTCATCTCCTTCCAGAGCTTGGAATCAGCCTTGAAGGACCTCAAGATCAAATGACCTGTGAGGAGAATGTTGGCCTCATCCCAGCTGCTAGGGGAGGGGTCAGGGAAGCTAAGGCTCGCTTTGCTGAATATTTCTAGAGCACCCACAGGGGAAAGGGAGGGGAGGGGGTTGGAAGCTTTTCTTACCTATTTGAAGGAACACGTGCCTTTTTCTTAAACAAATACTTTCATTTATTGTAAAAAAAAAAAAAAATGTCCCCAAAGCACTCTGCTGGTCATGAATTGCTTCAAAACGTGGAGGTAATAAAAATACAATAGTAGACATGCTCGCCTGTGTTTGGAAGAGGTTAGTTCTTGCACAGACATAGGTACCTTATTTTTGCTTGCCAGCAAAAATGATCCTTAAATCCAAGAGCCTTCCCCCAAATGGTTCCTTCCCCACTGCAGTCCAGCCTAGGGGGAAGGTCTCTTTTTGTCATTCAGCAGATTCCTAGACAAGTGATTGCTCATTCCAGGCTGATTTTGGGGTTTAATGTAAATTCAATTATTCTGTTTGATGTTTTGCAGTTGGTTTCTGGTAAATGCTCATTATTTTTTAAGATTTCCCCTCATTTTCATTTTATTCAGAGGGTTATGTTTGTCTGTTTTTTAGTAACATACTTTATAGTTATGGGGTTTAAAAAATCTAGGTAATGAGGGAGTTTCTGTAGGCCAGGATGAGCTGCATATGCTGGCAGCTGTGGCATCCCTCCTCGGGTGCCCAAGGCTGTGACCTCCAGCATGGCCTAGCCCAGGGGGTGTGGTAGAGGTCACTGGGAGTTGGGCTCGATCACTAAACCCCTGTCTGACTTCAGGTCAAACTCCCTGCTTGGCACCTAGTCATTGACTTCTCCGGACCATGTGCAAAGAAAGGATGATGCTATTCATGAGGCAGACAGAGTGCCTCTCAGGGGGTTGCAGGGGCAGGACAGGCACTATGGTGGAGCCTGTAGGCAGCGGTGACTGAGCTAAGCCCCAGCGTCCCTGCTGCCATCCCCACCAGAATGGGTGGTAAGGACTGAATGAGGTAACGCTGGGCAGTCATGCTGGATATCAGCTATTAGGATGCTTCCTCCCTGCACTGAAATCTGAGGCTGTTACCACCAGGGGGCACCTGAAGGACAGGACAGGGAGGTCCAGTGCTGCTGCCAGCCTGCTGTGGACATGGACGACAGGTCCCTGGCCACTCTGGCCTAAGACTCCTACTTGGTAAAAGGGAGAGGGCCAACTCCTGTATCCTGAGGTCTCCAGTTTGGATGCCCAGGGTCCAGTCCCCAAATCCTGCTCAGTGCCAACTGAACCTGTGGGACAGGCCTGCCTTGAGAGTGACAACATGCCCTGCTAGGTAAAAATGGCCCAGGCACAGGGGCCCAAAGATGGATCATGGAACAAGGGTTACGATAATGCCAAGTTTAATCTGCCAAATATACAAGTTGGATTTGTAGAGCATGTTTTGCCTGGGTGCTGCACAGTAAACAGAGGTTTCTTGAAATGATCCATGGGTAGGGTTAAGAATGGGCCCTGGTCAGAAAGGTGGGAATGGGGCAGAGAAGGGCACAGGGAAGGCCATGGGAAGAGCCATCACCCTCAGAGACCCAGGGGTACAGGCTCCCAGATGACAGCCCCTGAGTGAGCACCCAGGCAACACAGATGGGCTGGTTGTTGCAAACTCACCAGCAGCAGCCCCCAGCACAACCACCCTCTACTGTGCAATCTACTGGACAAATGGACGCTCTTCTTACCCCACCTCCCAGGCACCCCCAACAAAAGTTCTGAATTCTAAAAACAGCAAAAACATTCGAATGGTTACATATGAAATGCTGTCCTGCATCTTTCTGTCTCAAAGATAGCAGCTGCCCCCTCC